TCTCTTCCCTCTCTTGAAAATATGATTAATCAAATTTTTTTTAATATTAATATTCCTTTTAATTGTAATAGGCCAGATAACAGAGCAGAGAGGAGTCAACAAACATAGCGAAGATACCATAGTTTGTTATTGTAAATGTGTATGAACCTGAAAAAACCTTCCTTGCTGGTAATAAGCATTACAACTTTGGTGTTCTTAAAAGCAGTTTACATCACTTAACCTGGTATCTAATGAATTTGTAAATGCAAATACATTTTAATCAACTGTTTAAATAATGAAGTAACTGTTTATACAAGGCTTTTAAATACATATGCCCTGCAAATATCTTGGAAGATATTATTTCAGCATTTTACTGTACTAAATATCCATCTTTATTTAGTCACTGGCAAGTTAGTCAGCTGATTAGGAGATAGACATCCAAACACTTTCATGGGTCTGGCTCTTAGCACACTTAATATTACAGGCCATTAGTCTGGGGGAAATAAAGTATCTAATAATGATTTCCCTCCCGGTATCCTAGAAGTACACATTGCTTTCTCTTATGTTTATTCCTCTGAGGCCAATTTGTGGGCCATATCACTTGTTCTGTAAAAGCTAGCTTTAATTATATTTACTGAAATCAGGAAATACTGTTAAATGCTTAGAATTAATTTCTTTCATCTAGCAACTTATGTTAGATTGGTTTATATGTTGCTATACATTCAGATAGCAGCTATTTTCTCTGTTATATCTTAATAGCACTCCAGTTTGTGTTTTGTTTACACATATCAAGGAATCAGAATCTTCACTTCTGTGATTTTGTAGAACTTGCAGTTATTTCAGTTATAAGGCTTTATTTGACCAATATCTGTACAAGTTACACAGTTACTGCTTCTTAAGTAACATTTTTGTTTGTAAGCCTATTCTGATTTTAAAGCATCTCATGCATTATTCTTAACTTTTGGAATGCTAATGATGGTAGTTTTAATTTACTTGTATGCAACTGATGGGGTTGGGTTTTTTTTTCCAAGCACTAGGGCAGAGATTATTGTCTTTATCAAGAGCTATTGGAGCATTGTTTTCAACCTTTTGGTCCAGCAGAGAACTTTTCTCTCATTTAGAAATACCCAAGCTTTTATTTGGCCAAAGCAAGGGTGTTTCGTAAAATGCTTTGTTTTCTTGCCACAAAAACTCTAGGAAGCCCTGTTACGAAAGAAATGCTGTCAAGTGGCTTTCCTCCTGCCTTTATCACTGATGTTCAATAACCATTCAAAACTTACAGGGTCAGGTAAGAGCTTTCTTAATAGAGCAGTGACATTATTTCTGGTTAGCCTCCGATATGTTATATTTGCTGAGAGCTCCAGTGCACTTTTCATTTGATTTTGTTTTGGTTTTGTTTTGTAGTTCTGTCATCTTTTTTTACAAAAGGGATATTTTTTTAATTTTTTTTTAAGTTTAGTTTAACTAACTCAATCTGCTAGTGGATCCACTGAGCAGTTATTAAGAAGTTTTGCTAATATGTTTTGCTTTAGGAAAATATCCAAAGTATTTGTATTGAGAATGCAGCATGCAAAGTATTTTTCCAATAGCAATATTTGGAAAATCTGTATGTGAATGGTTCTGTATGCTCATTGTTGCCTGTGTGTATGTTTTAAGCTGCAACAGTTTAAGTGAATACTTCAACACAACAAAACAAGTACTTGAAGACAGAAGAAGAATTAGCAACTCTTGAGTGTTTGGCATATACTTTAGAGATTCAAAAGTGCATCTTTACTTGCTTGATAATTAAGCTTTCTGTTTCTTTTTTTTTTTTTTAGCTCAACCTTTTAAGTTAGTGGAAGTGCTCAGGCAGCTAAAATTAGGCAGGTTCTTCAGTCCTTGCAGGATTCAGATCTTGGATTCCTTAATGCTAATATTTTTAAGAAATACTCAAAATATTTTTGTAGTAATGCAAAATACTGGTTTCTGAACATTCTTGAAGTGGTTTTGTTAGTTTTCTTAATGGGATCTTTTAAGTGGACATTAGGAAAATATAACTTTTGTTGAAGGAGTCAGAGGAAAGGTAATGAGTGAGGGGAACTCTGATATGAGATTTCATAAACTTTGCCAAAACGGAAACCTATGTCACTCTTCAGTAAAAAGCTGAAAAAAAAACATAAATGTATTTGCTGTGAGTGATGAAGGGAATATATTAAAGTCTTCATTGCAATAATTGTTAGTCCTGTAATTGGTGAAATGTTATGAACTATCCTGCAACACCCTGAATGCTGTCAGTGTTTGAGTGTGAAGAAGCTGATTTGTTTTACATTAGCTCTTAAGTAGACATACTCATTTGCACATTTTAGTTATAGCACTGTATTGTAAGCTGTCCATTTAGAATTAGTATGATGAAGAGGAAGCTTTTTTATAATCTCAATAAATTACCATTAGTGAGGAGCTGACCCCAAACGTAAGGCTTGTCTTCATGCTTACCTGTCTTCATTGCTTGTTTATAATTATGTGCATTTATCTGTATGTATGTGTATATACAGATCATTCACTATGTACATTCATACTTGTTTCTGCAGTAAATTTGTGACTTCCTAGGAATTAAAGCTCTCAATTGGGTTCCTGTTTCTGTAGGTCAAAGATATATCTGCCTTGTTCTTGATTTATTTTAATCATTTTTTATATCATACAGTTGCCCCTAGAGAATGAAAATCCAAAGAAGCTAGAAGTATGATTAACAAAAAGATGAGAATAGTGGCATCTGTTTTACGTAAGATGTTCTCAAGTGAAAAATATTAATGAAGTCATAAATAGTCTCAAGGTAGTTCATGTTTATAGGTGCTACTGTGAATCATCTTTACTGCAAAGAAAAATGCAAGCTATCTTGTGTAAATGTTTTACTTTGATTACGTCACTTCTGCTACCTGAACAGAATCTGCTATTACTTGTTAACCCTTGTCAGATTAGACATCTAGATTAAAATATCTAATTTGTTTATGTTTTCACATTGCAGGTTTTGACTTTTGCTTATAAGCATGCATTGGTAAATAAAATGTATGGGAGAGGTCTCAAGTTTGCCACAAAACTTGCAGAAGAGAAGCCGACGAAAGACAACTTGAAAAACTGCATTCAGGTAAGGTGTACTGAGTCAAGTAATGCTCTCTGTTCACACTGGGTAAGCTTTTAAAACTAAGATATAAGTATTTTTGAATTTTGATACCTTTTACATTGTAGAACTCGCTGAACTTAACTTTGTCTTGGCTTTTGTGGTTTGATGTCCATTTTTAATAATGTTTTCTTCTTTCTCTTTCTAGGATAACTAGTTTGTAAATAACTGTCATTTTCAGCAGATTTATTTTCTGGAACTTACTTTAAGGTCTAAAGAAAGTAGAGACGATTACCTAAAGATCCTCTGCATATTTACAGTTCTGTTATGTTTCTATTTGTCCACTGTTATTTTTACTATTATCAATCACAATTATTGCCAGTAGGTGGTGAATTAATGAGAATTACTTAACTCCTAGGACAAAAGTTTTGTGCATCAAGTTGAAAAGCTGTAGATCATATAGAATGATTTTCTTTTTTCCCTTTCAGGACTAAGTAAGTAAAAGATCACCAGTTCTCCAACCTGTTACTTTTCTGGTCATAGATATATTTAGTAAGATGTTGATATCAATGCAGTGTTTGTTGGAAGGATTTAGGTTAAAAAAATAAATAAATACTCCAGAGCTTCTAATATTTTTGATCTTGTTTTTTTCAGCTAATGAAGTTGCTTGGATGGACTCACTGTGCAACTTTCACTGAAAATTGGCTTCCTGTCATGTATCCACCTGATTATTCTGTATTCTAGAAAACCAACAATTGTAAACTTTAAGTGGTTTTATATGGGGCAGGATATAAAAAGATAAGTTTGACTTTTTACTGGAACGCATGTTTTCGTTACTAAATGCTGGTTATTAAATTGTGTGTATTTATCAGTAAAGGCACCTGGGGTACAGCTTAATACCTGTTAAGCAAACTCCTGTCATCGAGGAGTTCTTTATTGTGCATCCCATTGCTGGCAATGGATGTGTCAGAACTGCCAACACCAAGGATTTGGATATAGGCTGGAAAGGCTTATTGCATGCATGTTAGGTTCTTAACTGTTACGTTTAACTGCAAACCTGTAAAAGTTCTGTATTTTTTACAGTAAACTGAATTTTAACATGTTTAATCTTAATTTCAATTGTATGAAAGCCTTAAAGCTACTTCAAGAGTAGCTAAAATCTTATTTATTTGATTAAAGTAATGGGACATCATTACCTGTATTGTTTGCAAGAGTTTACATTTAATTTTTTTAAGAAAAATTCAACCTCTCAAACTGTTACAATGTGTAACTGAGAATTGCTGATGCATAGGTGCTCTTGTAAATCTTCATTTTGGAGTGATTTCAGGCAAACTCGAAAAACCATGTGAAACTGAGTATCAGGGCAGGCTGATACATGTATAAAAGTGCCAGGCAGTTAAATCTCGATCAGGTATTGTAAAGCTATACATATATGTTTAATAATGTTAAAAATGTAAAACACAGCAGAATAAATGTGCGAAGTTGAAGATCAAAAACCACCATGTGCACTCTGATACTTTACAAGATTATTTTATAATGAATAAAAACAAATGGTAAAGCTAAAAATTGCATTGGTTTCTGAAAGAGTACAGAAATGAAAGGTGCTGGAAGAAAATACAAACAGCAGAAGTTCAGTACAGCCCAGAAGATCAGTGCTTCCTGTTAAAGCCTTTTCACTGACTGTTGCTACCAACATTGTTCCTTCAGTGGAGTGAAATTGGTCTGTTTGAACAGGTCATACATATCAACCAGAGACAAACTGCAAAATCATTTGTCTTGCCAGTTTTCTCCTAACTTTTCATGCAAAACTCAGATACAGCTGCAACTTGACAAACACAAATGCGCAGAAGGTGCACCATAATGCTGCAAAACATTCCAAATAGTAAGATGTGCTGCCACTAAATCAAAATCAGTAATAGCTTTCTCTTTAATTCTCTCTTACCGTGGCTTTAAGCAACTTGACATTTGATTCTGGAAATTCTGCTAGAATGGTTGTGTTGAATGTATTACAAACTTTTTCCAAAAATTCATAGTCTGTTCTGAATCTGAATTTATTTGCCCATAGCAATACTGTTCCTGGCCTGCAAAAATAGACCATTGTTGCTAGCAGGGGGTCCAAAACTATTTGAGGGTATACAACATCAGTTGCCAGTATGAAATCATAATGGTAAGTTGATGCAGGAAAGTCTTCATGGAGGCTTTCTCCCCACACCAGTTTTCTCACTTCAGGTTTGTGCATATTCGTGTTATGTGTATTTTTTGAAATGTTGTATGACAGATTTTCAAGAACTTCAGGCAAATCAGTAGCTGTAACATAAGCTCCTAAAAAAACACATGAATTTGTTTAAATTCTTAGGTATATAGTTGATCATACATATATATGAAACTTTTATCTACATAGCTTCCCCAGCTTCCCAGTAATTTTCATTTTAAAAAAAAGCAGCGACAAACAAAGTTTACTTCGACTTGCTTCATTGCCTTAAAATGAGGGTGGCAGATCTAGATCATCTTTCACAAGAAATCCAAAGGGAAATACAAATTTACTGACCTAAGATACAGGCCACAATGGAAACCAAGCCTGTTCCGGCACCAATTTCCAGAACTTTTTTGTCTTTGAGGTTGAATTGTTCTTGATTGGATTCCAGATATTGAGATAGAGCCAGTGCCTAAAACAGTTAACACATATCCATCAGAGGGTGGCAGGTAAGTTGCACAACAATTCATTGGATGTTTTTATGCAGGGCTGTTTTTTTAATACAAGGAAAAACACTGTTGGCTGTAAGATAAAAATGTAATATGGAAATAATTATGATGTGTCTCAGTTTTTGTATTAAAAAAATAAAAGCTTCATTTTAGGTTTAGGTTTATGGGCTATCAATTTGCTACACATTTCTATACACTGTGAGTCCTCTGATAGCTCACGGTTGGCAGCGTTTAGGTGTGAAATGTACAGTCAGAACAGCAAGCAAGAGGTTTATAACAGCATGCAAAAAGTAATGTTCTGCTTTATTATTGTAAATGTTGTGTTTTTTAATCACAATCATGAAGTAGATTCAGGCTTCAACAGATTTTTTTGAAAACGGTTTTTCATTTACATTTTATTTTGTAAAGGAAATATTAAATACAGTGTTATTTACCAACTCAGCAGTTGTCTTTTGATAATGGTATAAACTTTTTTTTTAAAAAAAAAAAGTAAAAGCACCGAACACAAACAGCAGCACTGTGTGTATTGCTTGTCAGACCTTTGTAAAGATCTTATCAACACATTAAAAATCAGCTGTCTATAAACAACATAAACCAATGCCAAAGAAATTTGCTTCCCCACGTTTTTGCTCTTTAGAGTTGTGTTACTGTTCTAACTCTTGTGCTTTTCATAATGCAACACTGGCTGCTTGCTCTGGGAAAGCTGACAACTAATGAATCACCAGTCCAATTTGTGCAACCTCTCGATTTTCTTGGAAAGTTTTACTGTCTGCATTCTGACACCTGATTAACATGAGACCTGATGATCTGACATTTCATAAGATACTGTTTCGTCCACCCATGTGCTTTCTTTTTCTCTATTGTTCTGAAATTGTCTGCCATTTTCTGTGAGCTTTTTCAATAAATGTGGATCTGGAAAATGTTGAAATCCTAATTGTCATGTCTTTGTCAATTGACCTTCTCTTCCCTCAGGCAGTTCATTCAGTCCACGTGAAATTCTGGTTTTAAGAGCAGGAGAAACAAATACTGAAGGAGAACTGCTTTGCAAGTATGGTTTTCTGTACTGCAGTGGAACTGTTCCACCTTGTTCTTTAAAATAAGCATGTTTAAGTGTTTTAACCTCCTTTATTTAATCTCACAATTTTCTTTCGCAACCTCCTTTTTGTACTGCTGATTGTTTAATTCCCAGCAGTGACTGGTTAGAAAGATGGAAGAAGCTTGAGCACTTCTTCCCAAGTTCCCTTGATACTTTTTTTTTTTCAGTATCTGCATCCAATTTACAAATCCTTAGATGCCACAGTTCTTTTGGAGTGAACTGGCAGGTTGAGCATAAGGCAGGCAGAGCTTTCTGCTGAAGTACTTCACAGCTTCATTCTGCCTACGGAAACTTCCACAGTCAGAAGTGTCATCTAAGAAAGCTTCCTTAATATTTGTGTGTCATGGCTTCTGTCGTGTCAGCTTTCTGGGTGCTGCATCACATACTTACCCCCGGCCATACCACAGCTCCTAAGTGTTCTATGGACTCCTGAATGACAATCTGGTGGCCAACATACGTGTAGTGCTCTTTGTCAAAGTAGTGCGAAACTCTAGGAACCCAGTTCTGCAATAGCTCAAGAATTACTGGTGAACCTGTGAAGAGAAAAGATGAAATTTGTGGGTTTATGTGCAGGTGTTTATATGCAACTTGTTAAAAGGTAAAAAGTATTTTGCAAAAATAGTACCTAGGTACATGGCCTAGAAAAGCTGATGGTTGGACTTGATGATCTTGAAGGTCTTTTCCAACCTTAATGATTCTGTAATTCTAAAGCTGCCAGGCCATTGACCTTGAACCTAGTCACTGGCTGGCTGGCCAAGGAGTGGAAGGAGCAATGATTATTTCCTGCCATTCTGAGTGCTGGCATGGCCAGTTTAAAGCTAGAAATGAGCCTTTTAGAAAAATGTACTAATTCAAATATCTAACTCTGCTAACAACAGCTAGAAAACTTTCAGGACCAAGTTGGCTTGTTCAGGGGTGTGTGCTGTAATTCACACTATGCCAGAGTATGCCATGTAGGGGTTTGGGCTGTGCTTTTCATTTGTGAGGCAATAGATTATTAAGCATCTTACACTGAAGAGAACCTAACTCTTCCCAGTGGTTATTTTTCAACCATACTTCCACAAAAGGAATTGTATAAGATATTCTTTAAGTAAATGTTGCTGTGTACTTAACAGCACATGTTGTGCTGTTCAGGGAGTTGGTGCTACAGTTGTGCTCACATGTCTCATCAAGGTGAGTTGCCTTGTAGGTTGCATTTCTCAGGAGAGCTCTGCTCAACTGCTCCATCTGATCTCATTAATAACAAGGAATACTGTGCAGAAGAACTGTAGGTTGGTGAAAGCCTGTTAGCAGGATAGGCATAGATGATACAAAATCAGCTTAAACTGATGGATTTTAGTTGATGCCTGCCTGGAATCCTTGTGGGTGTCAGAGCAGTTTAGCCTGTTGAAATTCGTAATGCCACAGCCTCAACAGTGCCAGCCCTATCAAGGCATGTTGTTATCATATCTCTGATTGTAATTGAAAACTAATTCTTAGATACCTAAATAAAATGCAGAGCCCTTTTCAAAATATATCTTAATTATGGAGATAGTCCTTGTTGTAGATTTGGTCTGATAATAAATACAAAAAAATGCGGAAATGATGGAGAAAAAATGGATATAAAAGGAGAAGTGACATCTACCTGAAGGCTGATAAAAGTGAAAGTATGAAATGCTAGCATGCCATAGCAACTGCAGTATTTAAATTGGATTAAACCTGAGTTAGATTCTCCTGTTGATGCACACTTGGAGCTGCAAGTGCAGTTTTCAGAGTCGTGGTGCTCGTCACTGGTTTCTTCTTGCCCAGTTTGGCAGTCCATTACTCTTTGAATTATGTTGGAGAATGGTGGCTGCTGTGCAGAGATCATGACAAAAAAAGCTGAAATGGAAGGGGAAAAACAATGTTGTAAAAGCTTGAGGGCACTCTTGGTATGAGATATGACTGGGAGAAGACAGTACTTTCATGTGGGCTTTGGGTTTGGATGTTTTTTTTAATGACAGGTTGAAAGGGCAGGAAACCATGATGAGAGGTAAATCCCTACTCCACTAGAAATTGCTGTGACTGCTTTCTGGTAATGCAGTAGTGGTACCAGCGTTTTTATTTTATCGTGTTTGTCATATTTATTATTTTGTCATGTTGAGTTTATAATTTATGTGAAGTCTTTGCAGTAAGTCACTGAATGGATGCTACTAAACCCTCTGCAAAGTAAGCTACTTTCATGGTACTCCTTCCTATCAGTTGAAGCAACAGCTGAGAAAGATGAACTGTCTTTTTATGTCTGTGATTTTTTTATCTGTAATTTACCATGTCCTAAAGAACTCAGGACTTGGCATCACTGTGATATAACTGGTTAATTTGCTACAACTGATTTTGTCTCCTCATATCCAGTTACCTCCTCTGCCTTTTGCTGCAGAATAGCTGAGTTACCCTGCAATGTAGTGTGTACTGCAGGGTCTGCAGTCAGGAAAAAAATTGCAGTGGGAAATTTGGGTCAGTAAACTTATTTTGAAAACTCTTTGTGTTCTGAATGACTGTGCATCTTCAGCATACAGGGCAGCATCCAAAGTGAGGAGGAACTGCTTGATACCAGCTAAAAAGCAGCAGAAGCAGGAGTAAGACTGGAGCTAAATTTGCCTGGGGAGAAATATGCCAGTGAAAACTACTTGCTTAACATGAGTTTTCTTCAGTGATACAGCACCTGTGTGTGTGTATGCCTATAGGTGCATATATACACCCACAAATACATATGTATAAGAAGGGGGAAAAAATGGTTCATAACTTGCTCTGGCCAAAGACTGTACAAGTTCTCACCCTTCCCACGTATGGCTGGAGAGTGCTATTTTTCTATCCATGATGCTCTTAATTCTCTTCATTTTTGAGAATTTGGACTGTATCATACTGCAGGTAGCTGTTTTAGATATCCTGGACAGAAAGGGGAGATCTTTGGCTGCAACCAGGAGGTTTAGTAATGTCTGCAAGTAGTTTTTTAAGGAGCAGATTTACTGCTGATTTGTGTGGTTTGTTTGCACACATGATACTGGCACCATGCAGTTTTACTGATACATTTCTTATTGCTGCTCTGTTTATTCACAAGTGCAGGATTTGTGTTCTGACTCCTTTAGCATTTGTTCAGTCATGGCAGTGATTTTCATAGAATCATAGAACGCCAGGTTGGAAGGCACCTCAAGGATCATCTGTTCCAATCTTTCTAGGTACTACTGTAGTTTATATGAGATGGCTCAGCACCCTGTCAAGCTGAGACTTAAAACTGTCCAGTATAGGGGAATCTACCACTTCCCCTGGGAGATTATTCCAATGTTTGACTGTCCTCGTGGGGAAAAATGTACATCTTCTATCCATTTGGAATCTCCCCAGGAGCAACTTCTGTCCATTACCCTTTGTCTTTTCCATGTGACTCCTTGTAAATAGAGTCTCCATGTTCTTGGTAGCCACCCTGTAAGTATTGGAACATGATAATATGGTCTCCCCTGTCTTCTCTTCTGAAGGCTGAACAAACCCAGTTTTCTGGATGTTCTGAAGAAGTGAGGCTAATGGGTCTGTAATTCTCTGTGTCCTCTCTTGAACCTTCTGATAGATGGGGGTGACATTAGTGTATTTCTTTCTGAAAAGAAATTGCTCCAGATGTTTTGTTGTTGTTTCTCAGAGGGCCTCCATGTACCTAGTAACAGGTTCTGGCTACGCACCTCTTGTGGATAATTTGAGATATGATGATGGTAGGGAAGAGACTGACAATAATGCAGCTACAGCATTCTCTGCCATAAGAGTGACTGTACCTGTGTTCAGGTTTCCTATGTGAAGGTGTTCCTCCTTACAATAGTAAAGGTTTCTGAGCAGTCTCATTTAATCAAAAGCATACTTCCAGTTTTCAGCAATGCTCCTTCTTCGTATCTTGAGCTAGAATAAAATCTGGTCATGTTTTAATGTCTTAGGAGATCTCTGGAAAAAATATTGAGGCTTGTGTAATTGGCGAGGTGTGTAATAGAAAGAGAATGTCAGAACTGATGATGGCTACAGACAGAAAACACGTACTTGAAGACCCAGTCTTCTGAGCATTTTATGTTTAAACATGCAAGGCTCTACATTTTCAAAGTTTGTTTTGGGGATTTTTTGGGTTGCTTTGTTTTGGGGGGAGTTTTGAGGGGAGTATTTGGTAAAGCTCTTGTAGCATGAAATCCATCCTATTTAAGTGAAAGGCCGATCCTGAAATTATAAATCAGGGGGGAACTTTGCATTGTCAAGTACCCTCTTATGTTAAAAATATGGCAAGGCTTGCTTACTGAGTAAGCTATTTAACTGGTCAATTTGGGTAGAAAGTGATCATTCATTTTTTTCTTTGCTTAGGTAAGTTCAATGCAACAGGTCAGCATTTCAGTTAGCTATGTATAGTAGTGAATACCACAAAATAGCCTGAAACAAGCTTAGTAAATATACTTTTGTTGATATGTTGTTAAGTACGTACAGTAAATACAGTTGCATCTCTGATAATTCTGTATTTACAGCATTATCACTCATTCAGTACAGACTGAATTCTAAATTAAATTAGACATGTTACATTATGTTTTCAAAATAAAGAATTGCTATGGTTTCTCATGATTTATCCTGTGAGCTCCTTTAGAAATGGAATATGTTTAAATATTTATAGAGGTGCTTTGTTGTTTTCATTAACTCTCTCCTTAAAATGATCAGGATGTCTAAAAGACATGTAGTGGTTACAGTGATACTGTGGTGAGAGTGGTGTGGTCCTGAAGTAATCAGTTGTGTGACTTCTTTAGATGGTAAACTGGGGGGATAAAGATTATGTAACTTGTATGTCATGTAACACACTGGGCTCCGTTTAAGCTATAATAATATATATTCAGTGGTCTAGTTTTTGCTAAGTAGAAATGTGGTGTTGATTTTAAGGTTGTTTTTTTTGTCTAGCCTACTGCCATACCTATTATATATTTAATAAACTGGACAAAAGAGGCAGTTTTTAGCTGCAAACTACAGGTCAGATTTAGTCTTAAAATTCCCAGAATTCAAGTGTGTGGCATATTGGCCTTAATGATGCACAACTTTACTTTATAATTTTAAATTACTGCTTTAAAAGATTACAGACACAAGTGAGTGCTGAGTAAGCTGTTTGCAAATAGGTGGTGTTTGCATTATAACATACCCTATGTGTAATGTAGTCAAGTTGCTGCTGTGCTTCTAGAAGTATAAATACTGACACTTTTTACTGTTTTGGCATTTTTCTGATCCATATTTCACTCAATATGGCGTCTCTAAAGGAATTTTGATTTAATATAATATTGTAACCAAAAGATGTTCCTTTAGAAAATGTTGGCTCTTTTTGAATGTTAGCAACTGATTTCTTTGCAAAATGATCCTGAAGGGAAATCATAATCTAAATCCTGTGCTTTTCAAAGTTTTTAAACCCACATTGACTTAATTAATAGTCTTAAATTCTTGCAAACAAACCAATGACAAAAATCACATTTGATTTCTTCAGACCCTCAGGAAGAAAGAATCATTCACCAAACTGTATCTATTTAACAATGCCACATAAAATTAACAAAATAATTACAACTGAAGAGCAATTGTAAGGTAATTCTGCACCTTAAGGTAACAGTTCATCCTCTATTAGAATAAACTCTGTGCCTCTTAAACTTCCAAAATGTGTTGCTTGGGACAGCTTTTCAAACCTAGCTACATGGCCAAAAAAAAAGAAGTAGGTGAGTGAGCAGTACTGTGTCACTGGGTCTTCAGCTGTAAACACAACTTTAATGACATGAGGGACACCTTCACCTCTACAAAAAGATACATGGCGAAGTCTGGTTTTAGTCTGAATTATTTGGGAAAAAGCCAATTCCATTTCCTTACATGGGAAATGCAGTTGTTCTTTGCAGGACAGAGCTTAGCCATACATTCATACCACACACAAACACCCGTGTTTCTTAGAGCTCATGCAATTTCCTCATGCTGTCATGCACTCAATAAAAATAATAAATGAATTGCTATACATGCTAGGAAATAAAGGGAATGTCAGTGCTAGGAACATCACTATAGTAAACCTGTATAATCTTGGAGTCCACAAGGTAACTGCATCCAAATCCCACCTGCCAGCAGTGATGATCACTCCTCGCACACTAGCAGGGTGAGGTCAGCTCACTTCCCTGAACTCACACAGCTGACCTGACATGTAGGATTTCAGGCAAATGTATTTCCCTTGTTAGTCAGCAGAGAACACAAAGGCACATCAGAGGAGGTTAGTGGGACAGCTGTCTGGGTACCTGCTGCGGCAGAGAGTGCTGGGTTTCCTATGGGCAGATGCAGGCTCCAGAGGTTTTTATACAGGCATCCACCTGGAAGGAATAACCCTCTGCTCCAACCAGTCGGGTTGCAGGCTATTTAGAGTAACATTACCAGGCAGTGCTGAAAGAACTTACTATGTTACACTAAAGTCTCCCACATTTGCAGTACAAAATGAAAACACTCTTAGGCTTTGAAGTCCCGAGCGTACCAACCTTCAGAAACAAAATCCTGGCTTCCTCTTGCTCTCTGTTTGAAGATTAAGTGTTCTGTTACAGTCAGCAGTGCTGACCCAAACAAGCTACTTACTGTGGGCAAACCAGCACAGAAATAACGTGTGTGGCCACTTGGCAGTAGCCCAAATGCAGAGAAAAGTTTGTGAAGCTCCTGCTGCCACGGAAAGGTCAAGTCTTCCTTGATCTGCTGAGCGTCTCACTGGGGAAGGTCTGGGTACCTGTCCCTGCCCTGGGTCATGGAGAGTATGGGGAGCTGACAGTCCTGAGAAAACAACAGCTTTCCTGTCATCAACAGTGCAGGCTGTAACTGCAGGAAACA